TAATTTTAAATTTTCTGGTAGGCATATTTTAAAAAATAAGGAATGTGTAAAATCAATTTTAATAGTAGACTTTAACCCAATATATCTAAAATATTATCATTTCAGCATGTAATCAACATCGAAGTTACTGATGAACAATTTAAAATTTTTATTTTTTGTGCTAAGTGTTTGAAACTCACTTAGAGCCTATGTCTTTGGACTGCTTGCATTTCACAGGCTTGATAGCCACCTGTGGCCTGTGGCTACCGTGTTGGCAACGCAGGTGTAAGAAGATCCATCCTTACGGTCTGGTCCCTGCTGGCCTCTTCACTCCCAAGTTATCATGTTCTCACTCTTTTCCACTTTACCTGTGCTCTTCTTTTTGTTTCTCAAACTGGCCAAGCTAATTCCACCTCAGAACCTTTCTTTGCACTTGTCCTGTAACCAGTTTCCCAACTTCTCACAGTCAAGTAGTCAACTTTTTAAAAAATTACTCCGATTTGAGCTTACATAACCCCTCGGAAAATGTTTTTGCCTCACCACACCCTCTCTGCAGCGTTTCCTCAGCCTCATCATCTTCACAAGTCACCAGGACCTGAAATAACCTTTCTTATTTCTTCATTGTCAGTCATTTCCCCCATTTATTTGTTTAGCGTTTAATTAAATGGAATGGATGTTTCACGGCTCCCTTCAGTGCTCTGTTCCCAGCCCAACACCTGGAATAGTGCCTTGCACACGTCAGGTGCTCACTGTTGAACAGCGCAGGGGCTGCTGGGTGCTTATCCCAAGGAGGAGTCAGGAGCTGCAGCTCCTCCCGCCCTCCCTTCTCCCCTCAGTCTCCCCCTAGCTCACCTCACTCTCATCCCATCTTCTCTTTTACTTCCCATCCTGCTTCCTCCCACCCCTCTCTCTCCCCTCCCTGCCTCCTTCAGCTCTCCTTATAGGCTGAGTCCTGGGGTCCTCCTCCTAGCCCTACTCCTCAGATGAAAGGGGAGAGTAGACGGAGCGAGCCAGCTCTGTGTGAAGGAGGACGGGGGAGGGGGGGCCTCATGAAGCTGCAGCAAGGAAAGAGCAGGGCTGGGCAGCGCCGACTCCTCACACAACTCCAGCAGCCACCTGTTCTGCCTCTGTAGGTGCCATTCACGTGGAGCATGTTTTCAGTGGTGTCTCCTGGGCTGGGTGTGGTAGCCAGCTGGCAAGTGGGGGCAGCAGGGCTGCAGTGAAGGTCTTGACCTTCCTCCAGCAGCACAGCCCATTCCTGGGGGGACAGGAAGAGCCGTCCGTGCTCAGGTGCAGACCCTGTGCCTAGTGACGCACACACCAAGCACATGCTTCAGGCGGTGGGAACCGGTCCGCGCCCAGGCCGCACCTGGCTCAGAGGTGCGCGCTGTCTCCTGACCAGCGGGGAGGTTGGGCTGGAAAAACCTCACTATGCTGGTTTGACTTTCCAGCTCTACAGTGTTTCCAGTGTGAACGATTCAATGCCAGCGGGGTCTGTGAGACTGGAGAAAGCTTCTGCCAGACTCAAGGCAGCGAGGAGTGCTTCCTGAAGAAGGTCTACGAAGGTAGGTGGGGCCTGAGGTCTCCTGGGTGACCTTTGCCTGAGGTTAGAGGCTGGCAGTGGGTGTTGGGGTGGTGGTGATGGGGGTAGAATGAACCTCTCCACGTAGGACCCCATGAGAGCTTGGGCCCCAAGGACAAGGTGGGGTGGCTGTAGGACTCAGGGAGGTGGCCCCTCAGGAGCCCTGGGAGTAGGAGCAGCATAGAAAGGGGGTAGTTTTCTTCTTTTAACCTGAATAGATGAAGCAGTATCATCTCATTCTGGTACTGGGCTCCCAGTGGCCCTTAACTGGGATGGTGACCTGTAACTGAAGTAGGGGTCTTTTGTTTAGCTCCTGAGGGTGACTAGAATTGGGGTGCTGAAATTCCCCAGAGTGGGACCTGACTGTGATGGGGTTTGGGGAACTAGGGACAGAGGTTGGGGGAGAGGAGGGAGGAGCGGGAGGAGGGCAGTGTTTGTTCATCCTCTCTTGTGTGTGTTTTTTGAGGGGAGCTGATTGAGCGAAGTTTGCAGAGCTATCCTAGGCGATTCCACTAGGGGGCCCCACCTCCAGCATCTCAATCCCAGGAGGCAGATATTTACCAAGAGCATGAGTTCTTCATGGAAAGTGCTGTTTTCCCCTCATTCCTTGATTAGTTTGTTGATGCACTGGTCCTCGGATTTATTCTGGAATATTTACTGAGCTGCACACCAGGACATGCTGGACCCCACACCCACAGGCCTGCACCTGGGTTCTGGGTCCTCACTTGCCCTCTTCTCTGCCTCTCTCCAGGTGACACCGTTTCCTATGGATACCAGGGTTGTAGCAGCCTATGTATTCCCATGAAGCTCTTTAATCGCATCACTACTGTGGAGTTTAAATGCTGCCATGACTCACCTCTCTGCAACAAATTCTAAAGACAGCGCCCAGCTTTTGCCCTGATCTGGTGGTTAAAGCTAACTGAGCATCTCTTTCTGCTACCACAGTCTCTGAGACTCTGTGATCTGAATACAGGTCCCCTGTGAGAAGCAGCCTCAGTCTCATTTTGTTTTCAGGCTCCATGTCCTTCCCTTCATTGTGAAATGCCCTCAGGATGGTCTTTAAAACCAAACTGGAGTGAAAAAGTGGCGGGCATAGTGAGGTCCAAGGGTACTTTTTCTGGCTCTAATCTTCAGTCGCATTGATTGCTGCTTAAAAAGGCAGTGTCTGGGGAAGACTATGAAATTGTGATTGTTTGTGTTCCGGAAGAAGGAGCTGAAGGAGAAGGGAGAGTCTTCAAAAGCTGAAAATGGTGGGAGTGTGAGGAGGTCCACAAATGATATGTTAGTTGAGTGAGCTAGGTGTTGTGACACAAATCTCTGAAGTTATTGGTGGCTTAAATCAGTAAAAAATGGAGGCACTTATGATAAAGCGATCTAACACAGAAGTGGAACTTACACTTGTCCACCTCCAAATGCAGCATAGACTTTGGACCTAGGAAGGGCTTGTGAGCATTATGGCCACCGAAAAAGAGAGATCTGTGGTCTGAGGTAGGCCACAGACAAGGCTGCCTAGGAAGGGGAAGAAAGGAGGAAGAGGAGGAGGAAGGAGATTAAGGGGCAGCAAAGTCTATCTTCTGGAGCAGCAGAGATGTTAGCAACTGTCTGCAAAGGGGAGTCACTGGATTGTTCAGAATTTCTACTGGAAAATTGGGACCTTAGAAGTTTTCAGAGGGAACTAACAGATGGAGGGATTCCTGAAGACGATAAATGAGAGGCGTCAGGAGGGGCTTCGTAAGTACAATGCACCCCACCGCGTCCCCTTCACATTTGCAATGAGTCCAGGCTATAAATCCAGCAGGGGAGGTGTCCGTTGGCCAGGTGCCCTCAGCAGTGCTGCAGACGGGAGGGAGTCATCCCCACATACATCCGGGAGGGGAAGGGGCAAGGTTCATCTGGAGTCCAGGAAGGTCAGTTTGCTTTTCTACTGACTACCCTCACAGCACTATAGCCACCGAGGACCCACCCCCCCAAGCCCAGGGGGGTAACCGGGTCCTGCTCCAGCCTCCCCATCTCCCTGATGCGCAGGTCTTCTCTGGACCCAGGGCCTTTCCAGCATTTGCTCAGTGAGAAAATTCAGCCTGTTGTGCGCAGCTGCCTTGCTCAGTATTTTGGGAGATGAGTCCTATGCTCAGGCGGTGGATGATGTGAACTGGAGTAGAGCTCTGGGGGAGGCAGCCTCTCAAAACCTGACTGGGAACCCCACTTTTCACAGAAGAATGGATTCTGCACACTCGAGGCTTTTCTCGTCCTTCCCACGGTCATGGTTTGAGTTCCCCTGAAGCAGACCCTGAGACAAGAATTCTAATGTGATAGTTCATTTGGGAGGTGTCTGCAGAAAATTTTGGTGGGGATGTACTATTACTATTCCCATGTTGTAGATGAGGGACCGAAAGCCTAGAGAGGTGTGATAGTTTCCCAAAACTACGGAAGCAGATTTCCACCCAACCTGTCTCCAAAGTTCACAATACTTCTCTCCACAATCTACAAGTTATTTATTGGAGCGAGGATAGGCAAGCTTTTCTTTAAAGGACCAGAGAGTAAATATTTTAGGCTTTGAGAGCCGTATGGTCTCCATTATAACTATTCAACTCTGCCATGTGTAGCACAAAATCAGCCACAGAAAATATGTAAATGAATGAATATGACTGTGTTCTCACAAAACTTTATTCATGGATCCTCAAATTTGAACTTCATATAGTTTTCACATATTATAAAATACTATTCTTCTCTTGAATTTTTCCAACGTTTAAAAAATGTGAAAACCATCCTTAGTGCATGCACCATCCAGGAGCAGGCGGTGGACTGGATTTGGCCCATAGGTCACAGGTGATGATCCCCGTCTGGAGAGCTCTTGTGCTCATATGGGAGCACAGAGATGTGCCAAGTCCAGCACCTCAAAGGGCTCAGCTCTGTGCCAGCTCCTTAGATGACTGGAGGGGCAAGCTGCCTTACATCTAGTGAACTCTGCTCTCTTTACTGATCAGGAAACTGAGGCTTACAGATGTAAATATCCAGGCTTATACAGAGAGTCTGAGGTTTTTCTAGATAAAGCTTTTTTCACTACCACACATTATATTATTTTTGTTTGTTTGTTTTGAAAATTAACAGCAAAGCAGAACACAGATAATACAGCTGTGATCCTCACCGTGTTGTTTGTGTTCTGGGAGTTTAGGGAAAACCCAAGAAAGCTTCGATGGCCTCAGTGGGAAGTCTGTGGGAATTGAAGCGGGTGGCATGGTCTCCAGCGCTCTTCTGGGAGCCCTTCTCCAGTATCACATCTAAGCAAGCTCCCAAAACTGAACAAGGAAGAAATAGAAAATATGAACATACAAATTACCAGTACTTAAGCTGAATTAGTAATTTTAAAACTCACAACAAACAAAAGTCCAGAACCAGATGACTTCATAGGTGAATTCTACCAAACATTTAGAGAAGAATTAACACATATTCTTTTGAAAATACTCCAAGAAATTGCAGAGGAAGGAACACTTCTGAATTCATTCTATGAGGCCAGCATCAAAACAGTATGGTACTGGCACATAGATTAATGACAAAAACAGACACGCAGATAAATGGAAGAGGATAGAGAGCCCAGAAATAAATCCATGAACTTATGGTCAATTAAGCTATGACAAAAGAAGCAATAATATACACTGGAGAAAAGACAGTGTCTTTAATAAGCATGGCTGGAAAAACTGAACAGCTACATGTAACAGAACAAAATTAAACATTCTCTTACATCCTATGCAAAAATAAACTCAAAATGGATTAAAGACCTAAACGTAAGACCGGATACTATAAAACTCCCAGAGGAAAACATAGGCAGAACACACTTTCACATAAATCGCAGCAGTATTTTTTTGGATCCGTCTCCTAAAGTAAAGGAAATAAAAGCAAAAATAAACAAACGGGACCTAATCAAACTTAAAAGCTTTTGCGTAGCAGAGAAAACCACCAACAAAATCCCTTCCCCCAGCAGTTAGTGTTGAGTGTGGACCGAGTGTGTGCTCCTGGCTCCGATCACACATTTATTATCATTATTTTTTTTTAAGGAAAAGGAATTTATTGGCATGTATATCTGAAAAATCCCACAGTTAATGTCTTTAGGCACTGCTGCCTCGAGGAGTTCAAATGGGTAAACACCACGATTTAAAATGCCCATTTAGAACTTTATAATTAAAATATCCTTCTATTATTATTTTTAATAGACTTTATTCTTTTAGAGTAGTTTCAGGTTCACAACAGAATTGAGCAGAAAATACAGAGTTCCCACAAAGCCCTCCCCACCCACACATATATACTCCCCTACCCTCAACATCCCTCATCAGTCACACATTTATTATTTAAAAAAAACTCTAAATAACAATCTTTTAAAATCCCTCAAAAATTTTTACAAGAAATCCGCGTCTTCCTGGCTGGAGAAGTATTTCTTCCTCTTTTATGAAATAACCCGGTGAAGCAGCCAAGACCGACCCACCCGCCGGCCCACAGCGCCTCAGCAGCTCCCCGAGGGAACCAGGCGGCCGAGGCCTCCTGGCTGCGCGGCCCCGACACCGCCGCCCTGGCGGCCCGGCCTGCAGCCCATCGACCCCGTCCTACGGCGGCGGCGTAGTGTTCGAGTCCGGGTGACTTTTGGCCCTCGGCGCTTGCCCTCGTTCCCCGCCCTCCGGCTCCTGCTCCGCCCCCGGCCCTGCACCCGCTTTTCTCCTCACAGAAAGGTCGCGGCCTGAGGCAGGGTGAACCCCAGCGTCCCCGTGGCCTCACCCCGATGTGACCGAGGCGATGCTCCGCGACAGGTTCAGCCCGGCCGGGCCATCCTCTGCATCCGGGTCTGCAGTGACGTGATCGCCCGCCGCCCCTTGGGCTGTGTGAACCTGAGGACGGTGAGAGCCGGGCCTGGTGGGCGGGTGGGCACGAGGCTCAGGCGACGGGAGTGGCCGGGCTAGGCCGGCGGGAGGGGGCGGGATGGCATGTCACCTCCCCAGCCAGGGCCCGCGGGGAGAGGCTCGGGCGCCGGGACCCTGGTTCCCCGAGCCCGTGGGGACGCGCATAGCCGGCAGCCTCACGCCCCTCGCACGCTCGGTCCCTTCCTCCCTTGCGACCATTTTCTTCGCCTCAGCGGCCCGCAGACCTTAGGGCGATGTCGCGCCGGGAGCTTGGGTGAGGCTGGGTTCTTCCACGGCGCTCGGCCAGTAGCTGCGGCTTTCTGGGGCGCCGAGCGCCGAGCCCCCTTCTCAATGGGTGGAGGTGCTCCCACCACCCAGGGCTCTTGCCGGCGCCCCAGGACTAGGAGGAAATGCATTTTGGTGCTAGAAAAATACTTCGTGTTGAACCCTGTAACCTCACAGGCCTGAGGCCTGTTTCTGCTACTGGCCCGATCGCCTGGGGGAGCTATGGAGACTTAGAATAAAGTTAATACGGTGTTCTTAAAAAAAAAAAAAAGACAACATACTGAATGGGAAAAAAATATTTGCAAATGATGTGATTGATAAAGAATTAATATCCACTGTATATAAAAAGCCCATACAACTCAACACCAAAAAAACAAACAACCCAATTTAGAAAAGGGTCAGAAGAACTGAATAGACATTTTTCCAAAGAGGAAATGCAGATGGCCAACAAGCATATGAAAAGGTACACAACATCACTGATCATCTGGGAAATTGAAATCAAAAACCGCAATGAGGTATCACCTCACACCTGTCAGAATGGCCATCATCAAGAAAACAAGTGTTGGCAAGGATATGGAGAAAAGGGAACCCTTGTATACTGTTGGTGAGACTGTAAATAGGTGTAACCACCTTGAAAAACAGTATGGAGGTTCCTTAAAAAACTAAAAATAGACTTACCGTATGATCCAGTGATCCTATTCCTGGGCATATATCTGGAAAAGACAAATACTCCAGTGCAGAGATACATGCACCCCAGTGCTCACAGCAGCACTGTTTGCCACAGCCACGACATGGAAGCGATCTTAGTGTTCATCAACAGATGAATGGATAAAGAAGATGTCATGCACACACACACACACACAATGGACTATTACTCAGCCATAAAAAATAATGAAATATTGCCATTTCCAGCAATATTGATGGATTTAGAGATTATCATACTGAGATAAGTCATACAGAGAAAGACATACTACATAATAACACATATAGGGAATCTAAAAAAAATACAATCAACTTATTTATAATACAGAAACATACTCAACAGACAGAAAACAAATTTATGGTTACCAAAGGGGAAAGGGGAGGGGAAAGGATAAATTAGGAGTATGGGATTAACAGATATACATTACTATATATAGAATAGATAAACAACAGGGGCCACTGTATACCATAGGGAACTATATTCAATATATTTTTGAGATTCATAATTTTAAAAATATATGTATATATATCTCAAGATAAATATATCTTGATACATTGTATATATATAACTGAATCATTTTGATGTACACCTAAAACTAATACAATATTATAAATCAACTTTTTAAATAAAAAAAATTTAAAGCACAGTTAAATATTGAAAAGTTACATTCCTTGCCTTCATTTAGGAAGTCTGACATAAAAAATTTCATCATAATGTGGTATATATGGGAAGAAAGTAAGCATGGGTTCCTATGGGAGCACAGATCAGGGGCATCTAAGCTGGTCTAGGGGTTCTAGATTTATAAGAAATGATAATTGAGTAAAATACATGAGGATTATTTAGAGAAAGTTGAGGAAAAGAGTACTTTAAGACCAAAAACTTGGAGTCAGGCAAGTTGTATGTGGGCAGCCACAATCTGTTTAGAATTACTAAAGAGTAAAGTAAAAAAAAAAAAAAAAAGAAAGTGGGAGAGGAGGCCAAAGAGGAAGGAGGGGCAAAGCCTTGGGGTACTTTGTGTGCCAAGTTGTTAGAACTGTTTTAGTAGATATGGTAAGGAGAAGCAGATTTACAAAATGTTAGCAGGTAAAATTGTGGTTGGATGAGGGGGTGGGGATCACAGACCAAACTCCTAGGTTTCTGGACTAGAAGTAATTGAAGGTATTTAGACTGAGAATTTAGGGGGGCAAAGCAGTTTTCATGGGAGGACGATGAGATCTCTTTTGGACATAATGAATATGATGGGCCAGAGGAAAATCCAGTTGGCCATCATAACAGGAAGTTCATAGAGAGGTCTAAGGATCCAAAAAGCCCATGGGTAAAAGACTTGAGACCATTAGCCTGTATAGTAGATGGTTAAGTGTAGCCCAAGAGAATTTGATGGCTATCATTATGAGAGTTAATGAGCCCTCCACCCCCACCAATGAACTCTGTGAGAAAAGCACCGAGGAATAAACACCAGGAAGCATCAATGTTAATGTGGTGGATGAAATGTGAGAAGGGGTGAGGAAGAAAGAGTGAGTGGTGGTGGTGGGTGTGGTAGTGTGAGTCCTTGTTATTAAGAAATGGCCTGAGATTCAAGCATAATACAAAAGAAAACCATTCAACCACAAAAGGAAAAACAAAGTGAAGAAAGGAACAAAGAAGAAATAAAAAATCAACTGGAAAACAAGGTCTAAAATGACAATAAATATGTATCTATCAATAATTACCTTAAAGGTCAATGGACTAAATGGTCTGATCAAAAGACATAGAGTGGCAGATTGGATAATAAAACAGGAGCCTACAGTATTCTAACTGCAAGGGCAAAGGATACACATAGACTAAAAGTGACAGGATAGAAAAAGATGTTTCATGCAAATGGAATGACAAGAAAGTGGGAATAGCAATACTCATAACACGCAGAAAAGATATATCATGTAAATGGAAATGACAAGAAAGTAGGGGTAGCAATACTCATATCACACAAAATAGACTTTAAAACAAAGGCCATAAAGATAAAAAAGGACCCTATATAATGATAAGAGGATCAATACAAGAAGAGGATATTACAATCAGTAGCATATATGCACCCAACAGAGGAGCACCTAAATACATAAAACAAATACTAACAGACTTAAAGGGAGAGATTGATGAGAATACAATAATAGGAGACTTTAACACTCTACTGACAAATGGACAGATCAATAGAAAGATCTTACAGACAAAAATAATAAGGCAACAGGGTTCCTGAATGCCACAATAGAGCAGTTAGATGTAATTGACATCTACAAAACACTACATCCAAAAAAACCAGAATACACGTTCTTTTCAAGTGCATGTAGAACTTTCTTTAGGATGGACCACATACTAGGACACAAAACAAGCTATAATAAATTTAAGAGGATAGGAATTATTTCAAGTGTCTTCTCTAACTGCAGTGGCATTAAACTATAAATCAACCAGAGAAAGAAATGAAAGAAAAAAAGATTCCATGAATACTAAACAACATGGTACTAAAAAAAAAATAGGCCAACTTGAAATCAAAGAGAAAAATCAAAAAATAACTTGATATAAATGACAGTGAAAACACAACCATACAAAATCTATGGGATGCAGCAAAAGCAGTTCTAAGAGAGAAGTTTGTAGTGATATAGGTATTCCTCAAAAAACAACAACAAAAACAACCCAAATACAGAATGTAACCTACCACCTAAAAGAATTAGAAAAAGGACAAACCTAAATTCAGTAGAAGGATGGAAATATGAAAGATCAGAGAGGAAATAAATGAAGTTGAGAAAAAATAATAGAAAAAAATCAATAAAACCAAGAGCTGGTTTTTTGAAAGGATAAAGTTGAAAAACCTCTTGCCAGGCTCACCAAGAAAAAAGGAGAGAGGACCTAAATAAACAAAATGAGAAATAAAAGAGGTTAAATAACAAATGATACCAGAAAAAATTTTTAAAAGTCACTTAAGAAAACACTATTAACAGTTAGATGCCAACAAAATGGACAACCTAGAAGAAATGAACAAGTTTCTAGATACATACAGCCTGCTAAAACTGATTCAATAAGAAACAGATAATTTGAACAGACTGATCACTAGAAGTGAAATAGAGTAATAATAATAAAAAAAAACTTGCTGCAAACAAAAGTCCAGGACCAGATGACTTCACTGGGGAGTTCAACTAAACATACAGAGAAGAGCTCATACTGATTCTTCTCATATTCTTCCAAAAGATTGAAGAGAAGAGAATACTGCCAAAGTCATTTTATGAAGCCACCATTACCCTGATACTAAAACCAGATAAAGACAATACAAAAAGAAAGAAGGAATGAAAGGAAGAAGGAAAGGAAAGGAAGGAAGAAAGGAAGAAAGAAAATTACAGGCCAATCTTTGATGAATATAGATGCAGAAACCGTCAACAAAATATTAGCAAATTGAATCCAACAATACATAAAAAGGATTATACAAGTTGGGTTCATTCCAGGGTCAGAAGGACGGTTCAATATACAGAAATCAATGTGATACACCATACCAATAAAAGGAAAGACAAAAATCACATGATCATCTCAATAGATGCAGAAAAAGCACTTGATAAAAACATATATGACTGAAAGATGAAGTGTAAGGGAGGAAACAGGTGACCCACCTTTTAATGCCTAGAATAAAATGAAATTAAAAACAATGAGGTGATAAAACTCTTAGCTTACATTTTTTGAGAGTTATGTCAGGGACTGTTTTAAGCACTTTACATTTTTTTCTAACTATTTTCATTAAATCATTCTCAAATTTAATGTATGCAATTCAGCAGGTTTAGCATTGTAGGGATTCAGAACAGACCTTTCCAAGATGAGTCACTTTGGCATGTGGGTTATTTTGAGCTAAAGGCAATCGAGACCCTGTGGGCTCAAGAGAAACTATTGCCTCTCCTTTAACTACGTGGGAGAATTTAAATGGAAAATTTTTCCCAGAAAAGAGTTATTATCAGAGATAACTTTTGTATAAATGGCTTCATCTGTATGGCAGGGC